CACAGTTGGTAGTATAACAGAATATAGTGATACTACTGAGTGGGTAGTTTCAAATAGTAAATTTTATGTTTGCATGGTGTAGCTCAATTAAAAACTGTTATTATAAAAATACCTGTGGGGCCAGGGGCATAGCTCAACAGCACAAGCCTGTCTGGCAAGTGCATGGTCCTGAGTTCAATTCCTGGTACCAAACAAACAAACAAATAAACAAACAAACTTGTGAAGGTAGATTCAGGCATGTGCCTGTAATCTGAGCTACTTGAGATATTGAGTAGGATGATCACAAACAAGTTCAGGGTCAACCTGGACAACACAGCCAGACTCCATTTCAACCTACCAACTAACCAACAGACCAAACCTATGAGTAGTAGAAGGCATAATGTAAAAAAGTAATTTGGATATAGTATAATCAAGTGTGGTAGAATGCCATTTTTGTTTAAAAATCCTATGTGTATGGTAATATATGCATATAAAACAATCGATGAAAACTTTGAAAAACAATTTCTTCTAGCCTTTTGAAATGTACAGTATAATATTGTAATCTATTTTTACCTTACTATGCAATGATACAGCACAGCTACTGGCTCATGTCTAGTTGTAACTTAGTACCTACTAACCTACATTTTCTCTTCCCTCCTTAGCCTCTGGTAACCACCATTCTACTCTTCACTTCTGCGAGATCCACTATTCTAGAGGTAAAAAAATTATAGTTCTTGTGTGGTAGTCAATGGCCTGGCTATCTGGTTGGGAGCTAAGAAGGAAAAGGATGGGAAGATTGGGGCAAAGAGGTCTGGGATAGAGGTTTAGGGAAGTGGACACAAATTGTGAAGAATTTTGTATTACATATTAACAGTCACCATGGAAGAGGCACTGGACAACCAAGTAGTCAAAATAACTTAAACCAACTGACGTGACTCCTATTGCTATTGGCCATGTCAGAATTGGACTGATGGCACATGAGCAGAGTGGCCGTGGTAGTGCAGACATCCAGCTAGGGTATCCACTTCTCAGAAAAGGAGGTATAGTGTAGGCCTACAGCATGGGTACCACACTATGTAGAAGCTGGCCTCACGGGATGCAGAAACAGCCTGTGAGCCAATTGCGCTCCTTGCAGTAGGAAACCAGAAAGATGCATTTTCATGGCTATAACAGTCTCCAGTTTGTGCTGTATAAATTGATTTAGATTCAGTAAAATCCACCTAATTGACCCACTGACCCAGCTATAGTGCTCAAAAATTGTTCATCATGTTTGCAGTATGAGTGTGCTTCCTCTAGGCTGCTTCTAAGTGTAGAGGGGATCATAAGCAGGCCTGTGCCTGAAAGATGCTGGCTTTCTCTGAAAGGCAAGTTTGGCTCAAGGACCTTGTTTAAAACCACACTTCAGTCTAAGAAGTAACTTCCTTATTTCCTTTGTTTCTTCCTCTATAGCTTTTTCTCTTTCTTTACTGTAGGCAAACCTGCATCATATTCTGATGACTCCTGCATTAACTCCTCCATTTTCCCTCATTGGTATTTCTTGTAATAAATTTCTTGCACATCTAATCGCATGTTGGCATTGGCTTCCTGCACGATGCAGACTAACACAGGTGGCTTGTATATTTGCTGGTGGGGGTCTAAGACAGAATGGCAGGTATGTCAATCTTGCATGCTAAGTGTGGTCCACTGGTAGTGGCTGCCATGAGAGTGCTGGGTTGAAAAAGATCCTAAAGTTGTATGTGGGCCATTGTAATGAATGGCATGGTCTACTGGAAGGGTCCATTATGAAATTAAGGGAATATCATTTTGCTCTTTCATTAATCAGTACTACTGAATTGAAATGGGCAATTCTCTATCAAGAAGAGTCAGGTCAGAGAGCTACTTTCTGTAAAATTTTTGTTAATGATGAACGATATGTATGATGACAATGAATAATTAATGATTAATAATAGCGATGATTATATGAGGCAATAGTATATGCTCATGTAATCATATATGATTAATAATGTTTAATGATGAATGATAATCATAAAGTGGTATTATATGGAGGATCCTAAAGGGATATTAAATGTAAGAGAATATGTAGCTTAATAATATGAGCACTAATCTTACTGAACGATGGTGAATAACATGGAGTCTAGAGAAAAAGATTCATGGTACAAGGGTTTTTTAGTGGTTTCCATCTCTGGCTGGGGGTGACTATGCTCTGATGAGCTGAGGTGATTTTTCTTGTTGCCTTGGCAGGTTTGTATCACGGAGTCCATCATAACAGGATACTATTCATGAATACCACTCATTTTCCTTTATCTGATTTTATACTTGCCAAGCAACATTCTGATGTTAATCAGGTTTTGGAGTTGATTTTCCTACTGAAAAAAATATGCTGACCAGTTGAAAAAGATATTAAAGTCGGCCTAGCATTTCTTTCTTTCCTTTAAAAAGTCATTTTTGAATTATAAAAATAATACATGCTTATCATAAAATAATAATAAAGATATAAAAGCCAAATAAAATTTGAAGTCCACTTCTTACACTTAGCCTCTTTCCAACACTAATTCTTAGGAGAAACACTTTATTGTTGTAAGCTAATTCATTTCTCCATTGGATACCTGGGGCTTAAGGTGTTTTCTTATGACTGTGTTTAGAAAGAATCTTGTGAATTTGCTCTGATTAAACAAAGAAAACTGTCTTTCTAAATACATAAAAGAGGCCAACCCTTTCACTGAATCCTTTTTATTTTCATGAGATAGTCTGCTGTTAAATCTTTCATGACAGCAAGTGTTATGCTTTGCAAAAATTGTGAACTTTACCTACCACTCACAGAATATGAGAGACCAATTTGGGAGAATGTGTGTAGTGCTGCATTTGCAACATTTTATGATTTATTCAGCTCTATGGATTACAACTCACTTGTTTTTGTTTGAATTGCATCACTTTTTACTTATTTTCCAAAAGCCTTTTCACATACACCCCTCTCCACAAAGAAGTGTAAGAAAATAACTTTAGCCCTCGTGTGAATCAGTATGCACTCACTACAACAACTATAAAAAAGAACACAGGAAGACAAACCTGCAGTGATACAGACTGGGTCTTTTTGTGGTTTATTAAGAAGATGATTATTAATGGCCGTTTTCAAACTCAAAGCAATTGCTGATGAGAAAAATTAGTTCCTTAACGTGAGTAAAGTTAGACTTTCAGAGTTAATAAAATTTATTTCAAAAGATTTTCCCCAATGAAGAACATCTGGATCTTTTATGAAAATAGTCTCCTACAAGGACTTAGGGAGAATATTTTGTGTTTAAGATTTCTAAGAGAAATTATTGCTTTAGGATCAGAAAACACCACTTGCTAAAATAATGTTGATAAAACTATAAAAACATATAATTTTACAACTTTAAAAGAAACTTACATCATGGTTTCACTCAAAGTAGGACTAAATTATTTTCATAAATGAACCAGACTTACAAAGTGTATTCATTGTAAGGCTGCTAAATTTTTAAAAATATTTCAGTAACCCAAAAAAGGTATGAAAATTTTTGAGAAGTTTTTTCAAAAAGCACAAACATGGTGGACATTAACAGACTACTGGTTGATAGTAAGGTTAAAATTAGAGTTTTTTTTCTGAGAGATTATAAAGACTTTTTCCCCAAATCAACTCATTTTTTTCTCAACCCTTCATACAATTAGAATTTTTCTTTCTATTAACAGGCAAGATATTACCATGCAATTAAAGATTTCTAAAATATACATAGACTTCCTTACCTTTCTCTTTTTCATTAATAAAAATGTGGAATCATTTTGTGGCACATTTATTATTCAGCTGTAAATGTAGTTTCCAAAACATACTGTAGAAATATCTCCTAGAAAGACTGTGATTTGGTAAATACTGCATTTGTCACAGATGGTTACAGAAACAAGCCTACTGTTCATGCTAGCTCTGTTCTCTAAACTTTATTTTCTGGTATTAAAAGCCAAATACAATTTAGTTAACTCTGAGGCAGAATTAATACGAACTCTTTATATAATGAAGAGCTAGTGTATGGGAATCTCATTTTGGTCATCAGACCCACTACTCTACTAGACTGATGAATTTGAATGTCTTTGATTTAAGTTTAATAATTGTTGTTTAAGGAGCTTTAGTGCATTTGTTTCCATTTTTTCTTTTCTCTTCAAAATTTAATATTGCCCATAGGTTATGTAAGACACCAAGTTTGGAATGCAAATGTGTGTACTACCTTAATATTGAATTTATCTCTGTCTTGGGAGAAATAGTTCTTTACTCTCATGAAGATATTAACAGCATCACTTGTCTTTCTGCTGTGATTCTTAATACAAATATTGAAGTTTAAAATTTAATAAAACATTGCCATGGGTTTATCTGCTAGGCCAACATATGATGTTTGTTTGTTCTGGAATATTCCAATTTGATTCTTTTGCCATTATTTTCACATGGGGGGAATGAAATTTTACTTTAATGTTTTACAGTGTTGTGAATAGAACCCAGCACCTCATTCATGGTAGGCAGGTGCGGTATCACTGAGTTGTACCCCCAGCCCCAAAGCCTTTTCTTTAAATATGAGCCAATACGAATGGGCTTTCCAGTGCTGGCTGAGTTGGAATGTTGGGGACCAGCCTATGTGACGGATTATGGCGGTCTAACTATGTGATTTAAGCCCCCACAAAATAAAGGTTTTGAAGACATATGTGCTCTCATGTAAATGCTGCTGTCTGGTTCAACCAGATGATAAAATATTAATAAACTACTGAAATAGACAAAGGCATTCTATTGGCACATATTTTGTCTTTTCAACTTTCTCATTTCCAAGTCTAGTAAGACTGTTTTTTTATAGGTTCTATCAAACATGATTGTAGAAGCCAGGCAAATGGGTCTAAATTACTAAAGATATCACAAATTTGGGGTACAAAGGCAATAGTAATGAAATAAACACACAGTAAGATCAACATTTGGGGTCTAGTAGGACTGCAGTGACTGCTGAAAAAAGAATCCAAACAAATTACACATATAAACCAGTTTATTAGATTGTCAGTGATACTTTGAGACAAGTTCAAGTTATTTTATTTTACGTCATATAAACAGAGGAAGGGAGGGAAGTTTTAAATTTCAAGCTTTGTTCAGCATGTGTGCAGTTAGCATCCACAGAAGCACCATTGGGTATGGAGGAATTAGCACCACAGAATTTTAGGACCTAACTGTTGACATGCATCACTGGAAAAGTTGGAACATGGAAACTGAAATAGTACGTGGTATGCTCTATTATAAAGAATACAAGGCAATTTCTGATTTCTTTCCATACGGTACAATACAATCACAATCAATGAGAACTTTTTAAGTACAATACAGGACAAAAAACACCTTGTACCCTGTTAACACTAAAGCAGTTACAGATTTTTAAAAAAATGTTTCTTGTAAGAGGCAGTGGGTTGAAATTATTCTTCCCCCCTCAATTTTTAAATTCAGAGTTATATAGTTACATGATCTCTTAAGAAAGTATTTTCAAATCTACATGTCTTCTGATGACACATGGTGGTTTGAAAACTTAAAGGCTCAGTGAATTAAACAAACATAAAACCTGACAGTTGAAAAGTACTCCAGTGTGGTGGAAGGTTTCTCACATAAGACCGGTTTGGAAATGATACCAATGTCGTTGATACGTGTCTTCCTTTCTGTGGAGGAATGCCAAGTACAGAAGCCTTGCATTCGTGATGAACTTCGGCTCATTTCTATCACCAAATGCCTTTATTCTGGATTGTAACATAAGAGATTTATTCCTTATTTCTCAACTGTTTTTGTAGTATCATAGGGCTGTTCCTTATGGTTGGTTTGACAACAGTGAAAAGGGTTGATATTCTCTCTGGAATTAGGGTAATTTGTGAGCTAAAGAAAAAATATTAATTTAAATTTAGCAAATATGAAATTGCAAAGGGAGTTCCACTATTTTCCCAGTACAAACCCATACTTAATACCCTTGAAAACCTTTCTGTTAGAAAGCATGTAACAAACCCTCATTTTGTAGTTGTGCCTAGGCCAATTTTAGCATATGAGAAGACACTGTATAAGAAATGTGTAATAGGAATAGATACAGGTATATTCAAGTCTCAATGCATTGATGCCGAGGAAAATACAGTTTTACTCACCAAGAGAAGAATATACCTTGAAGTATCTACGCAGACACATGAACGAATCATGTATCTGCCCAATGTCTAATTCTGGAATAGTGATAACAGGGTCCTTTAGGAAAAAAGTACTCAATTACAGTACGGCAGCAATTTCATGTTGTCTATATTTAACAGTGAAACATTTTAAAAAATAGAATCAGTACTATACGGTAAGTTTACAATTCACCATATCTATACTTGTAATACATGCAGTTTTTTTGATTTCCAAGTGTTTAAAAATTCCACTAGGACCAACATCTTTCAGAACAACAATCTAACATTAAACAAAACTTTCTAAGGAAAAAGTTTAGCATCACAGAGATTTGAGAAGTCTTTTACTCAGCATCACAAAATACTCAGTAGATCTACATTTAAGATTGTTCATGCCTTGACATTAACACACCTTTGGGTTAATATATCTTATTTTGAAAAGAAAACAAAGGAACAAACTAAACAACTGACATGGAATTTGTCTTTAGTCTCTCCTTGATAAGCACAGATTCTGATAATCTTTACTTGTTTCCATACCAGGTATTGATGATGCTATGCAACTGCATGTACACACAGCAGAATGCCGAAAACTAGATGTAGAAAAACATGGCTACAGAGACTTAAAAATAAGTAATATTGTGGAAAAAAGTTTTCTTTTTAAAGTATACTGCTCCTGAACGGAAAAGAAAACAAAATGTGTTCTTAGCCTATCCTTATAAATGTCAGAAAGATATTAAGTTTAACTTGAGAAGGTTGAACCCTATTGAAAAAAATTATCCTATGCTTTTTCTGCTGGACTACATTCATTGAATAAATCAACTACTAATTTCCTGAACAGGTAACGCTTACACAGCAGGACGTCTATGTGGATGCTTTAGATTTGATAGTTCACCAGGCCGACTTGAGCCAAGAAAGAAAACTGATTTCTTTATACTTTAGGATCACATTAAAGAAAAACTCAACTAAAAGTTGATTTATGATAGGCTAGCTAATAATTTTGATTGCCATTATATTTGATCAGCCTTTCAAGAAAAGGCAACAAACATGAAAAATGAGATTTTAAAAATAAAAACTGGTCAAAAATTGTTCATTAAAAAAATCTTCAAAATTTACAGTGCTTTAACTTCAAATGATTGTAGACTTAGACAGTTTTGCCATTATCACATATAGTGTTACTTTTGATTTTTACTTCTGTTTTGTTCATTGGTTATAATATGTAACATAATTTTCTGTTAATTAAAATAGTTGATTTATTACATTATACTCTAAGTGGCTTTAGAAAAACATATAACTAGAATAAATTTATAAAACGATAAGGAATATTTTAAGGGATTTTAGACAAATTCTATACAGACAAATAGCTCCAAGTATAAAGTGCTTTTTTTCTAGGTAATTAAGTTTTAGTAAAATATTTTAAGGCTCTATAAGAAACCCAACATTATCAGATGTTTGATAGTGTATGGGCTTACATTATTAATTAGCATTCTTTTGTAGCTCTAATATTTAATCTTTGAATCCATGTGGTAATTTTTAATAACTAGCAGCTTAAAATTATAAAGTTCCATTGTCAATTTTGAATTCATTTTGTGAGAAAAGGGAAAGATGTAACATTTCTAAATGCTGTGACCTATTGCTTGCGGACAGTCTGGTTTATGTCATAATACACAGCAACCAATGTCCCTCCAAAATTCAACAGAATACTTAATACCATGGCAAATATGGCCATCGTTTCATTCATATGCTGTTGTTTTTAAATGTAAAATGATCGTGCATCCTTAAATGAAAAAATAAAAAAAAATGGTAAAATTTTCAGGTTATAGGCACAATGAATACCTTTATTGCAACAGTTTATGCATAATCTATATGCCAACATCTAATGGTAAATATTTAATATTCATTTTGCTTCTACTACCCATGGGTATATCACAGTAAAATATTGTTAACCTAACAGATGTATATCTATATGGTAATCATGCAGAATTCTATTTATTACACATCTTACCACTTCTCTTTGGGTAATATGGGTATGTTTTAAGCACATCTGTGTACTTGGTTATCTACACCAGTCTGGATTATAAGATAAATTATAGTTACACACATGTCAATTACTCAGTTGTTTTTAACCAATATAAACTAATAAAATGTTTGAGTATTTGCTTTCAGGAATTTAGTTATTTTGATGAGAAAATTAGTAAAATGAAGCACAAGATTAAATGGCCAGGATATTTAAAGTATTTTTCCAGTCACCACTAGATTAATTTAAAATGTTCTTCAAAAGTTTTGACCCCTTCCTCTTGTGAGAGGAGGAAAGTGAAAATTCATGGAAAAGAATGGTTTAAGTGAAATGTTCCACCTTATTAGAAAAATAGGAATCACTACTGGGAAAAAGGTGCTAACCATGAAGGTGGGTTGGTTTTGAATATAAAGCCTAGTAAGAATAATTCCAGGGTTAAAAAAATTGAGTGACATAAACCTTTATAATTGCACATTCCTTTACCAAAGTGCCACAGGTTACCAAATATTTTTCTAAAAAGCACTACTTTTTGTACTTCTTTTCAAACATCTAAATACATATGCAGTTTTACCTTTTTCATACTAGTATAGTACAGTTTCACAAACTTAGCACAAATGTAACCAGGAAGATGAATTATAACTTTCTCAAAACAGTATTTTGTTTTAAAAAATACTGTTAAAAGCCTTTGTCACTATGAAATCGAAGTGTAGCTAAAACATTCCATTAAATCTGAAAACATCATGAGAACTTGTTTAGGGAAATTTCAGTAATATTCTGCCATGCAATGCACGGAAGTCATACGCTTTAAAAAACATATTGAATTAGTTATCTTGTTTTTATCTATTTGACTATATATTATATTTCCTCTTTTGAATCACTGAAGTATCAATATTACCTTATCAACATAGTTTGAAGACAATATTAAATACTGAGCTTTGTAGCTTTGACTGCTAATTTCTATGAAGTATGGCAAAAATGTTTGATGACGGGTTATTGATTTTCATGCTTCTATCTCTTTATTCTAAATAGAAAAGCTAAATGGAAATGTACAGATATAATAAAGAGAAGAAGATAACAGATACCAAAGCAATTATATATGGAAAAAATAAAATAGTAAGGAATTGTATGGAAGGTGTCCATATCAATGAATTTCATCCATCAAGAAAAGGTAATTAAAAATGGAGGTCTCTACCATGAAATAATTGTATTAATATATTTTTTCAAATAAGTGGCATGTACATAAGCTTTGAATATTTTTGTTATTTTTGAGTAAATGAAATTAAACTAGGGAACTACCTAGTTATAAACTGAGACCCAAAATATTATATTGCTGAAGAAAAAGTGAGAATTTAAGACGATGATTTTCAAAGGCAAGTCATCTGGGTTTTATTATACCAGAGGCTAAATACTGTGGTGCAGTGCCCCACTTAGTTAGTGTGAAAATGCTAGTAAAAATGCAAAAGCACTAATGCTAAAATTAGGATTAGTTCATTATTATATGATTATCAATAAACAGACCCCTTCTTTTTCTTACAGTTTGACAACTTCAGTCTTCAATATAAGAATGACTATATAAATACACTGGAAACAAATGCTTGATTATGTAAATTTTTCATCTTTTGAGGATGTAAATATGACAGAAATTAATATTGAGAAAATTAGTATTCTGAGAAAATTAATACTCTAGTATTCTGACAAAATTAACAAATCTTAAAAATGTAAGTGAAAAAAGGAAAAAATGGAAACAAACCTTTTGTAAACAGGAAAGAGGAAGGGTTAAAGGGAGGGTAGGGGAATGAGGAAGAAAGAATTAAGGTACATCACGTACAGGTACAAATTCTCTATATGAATGTAATCATTATATATACCTAAAATGTACCAGTAAAAGTTATTTTTTAAAAAAACATAAGTAAAAGTAGAAAGAGTGCTCACTTCGGTTGCACATACATTAAAAGCAGGAAGAAGCATGATAAATCACTGATAGCTCCAAACTCAATATACTGACAGGTTAATCACATAATGGCAGATATGCATCCACAGAAGCTTTTCATAGTTTCTGAGTCTAAAAACATAATCCTTTGTTGGTAAATATAATCTCAGCATTAAAAGTTGTTAAATACTGCAATAAACATTGAAATGCAGGTTTTAAATAGAAGCTGCAGATATGTGGAAACTCCATACTATATATGACATTCCAATTATAATTAGCTTGCATGATACTCAAAATAATATGACTCTACAATCTCTCTTGCAAATATGCACACATTTTTTTGACTTTGCAAAAGCTAGGCAATTGTATTTACCTAAAATAGCTTTTCCCTGGTAGCAGTCTTATGGTGTTGACATAAATACTGAACATACCTAGGAGAGGCATTCCTACTGTATTATTTAATCTTGTTTTTCTAATATTAAGCTCTTTTACAGCATTTTAATTTATAAAATGCCTCACAATATTTATTGTAGTTATTTCTCGTTATATTCTGGTGAGGAAAGCGAAGTTAATAAATTGACTGTGCAATCGTGGAGTTGCATGGGGCTTGTAAAGGTCATGAGTTGGTTCTCTGCTCTCTAGTTATGTACCTGGCATTGTTTTAGGCCAGTGGTAATGAACCTATGGCAAGCGTGCTGCAGGGGGCTGTTTGTATCATTGAAAGCTCTAAAAGGTTTGTCATCAATGTTCTATGCTGAGCATACTGTGTGCTCTTCGGGGCCAA